CCCAGGGCAAAGAGGCGAGGCTGAAGCCCTGGAGCCGCTGCTTCCCTTTAGGGTTTAGGGTTTAGGGTTTAGGGGTTTAGGGTTTAGGGGTTTAGGGTTTAGGGGTTTAGGGTTTAGGGTTTATGAAGCCTGAAACTTGAAATCCCTCTATTGTATACTATGTTTCTTTATGCGTTGTATATTGTATACTGTATTATATATTATATTGAGTATTATTATAATGTGTTATACATTATACCATATACTATATTACATACTATATTATATACTATATTATATATTTGATTCAGACGCTAGGCTTCGGCGTCGGAAGCCTCGTGGAGGAGATTGCCGGGTCTCTGTCAGGCCGAGGGACTTCGCGGAATGGGCCCTTCTGGGAAGGTTTGGGGTTTAGGGCTTAGGGTTTAGGGTTTAGGATTTAGGATTTTAGGGTTTAGGGTGTAGGGTGGGAGGGTTTAGGGTTTAGGGTGGGAGGGTTTAGGGTTTAGGGTTTAGGGTGGGGATCCTATGATAAGAGTTCCTCAAAGGGTTCCTTGAAGGCTTCTACAGGGTTCAGGGTTTGCGGTAGGGCTATATTGAGGTCTCTTCTGAAAATATTGCTAAGTGTATAATTCGGCTGCTATCATTGAGACATGACCAATAAACACCCTACATCATTTCGAAGACTGGAGAATTGGAATGGTGGGTTATGTGGACTTAGACTTCGAGCCTGTGGAAATCATTCGGGCCGTAGGACTTCTGGGATCAGGAATTTGGGATTTCGGCACAGGGCTTTGCTTGGGGCAGGTCTCCAGGTGCAGGGGATAAGATCTTCAAGTAATGCTTGAGTGTATGGGGCACGTGGATGAATCACAAGTACTTGATGCAGGCCATACCCTTTTGCCTTTACCTTATGCTGTGGCTGACATCCTGAACCCCAGCGAAATCCGAACTTTACATGACATCTCGCCATGAACCCTGAACCCTAAAACCATAACCATTTCCTACACCTTCAGCAATATACACGGTCGTGCAGACCGTTCCCTGGTTCAAGCAACGACTGACTTGGCTGTGGATGTCAAGCAACCACTTCCAGCCGACGATCAGAACTGAGTCTCAAAAGCATGCGGAGAGACTGCTAACTTGCATGGGGGGTATATTCCATTTAACTTGTGTACGGACGAAGGTTGTTACAGTAATCTTATGGAGATAGCTATTCAAAACACAGCCAAGGTGGAGCTTTGGGAAGTTTGTTGGGGTTTCGAGCTTAGGGTAGTGTGGGATGCTTTGTTATGTCCCTCATTGTCCTATTCTATGCATAGGGAATTTCGAAAAGCCCTCCACCAAAACCCAGTGTAGATCTTGGGGTTTGGGGCTAGCATCTTCGCCACGGAGGTCGGAACAATCAGTACCAGTATCCTGGAAACCCATATATTCAAGTTATTGACGTTTTCATATTCCCTCGACATTTGTTGGTGCTCGTCTGATCTGGAAAGCATTGGCTTGCACAGCGCTCTTGTTTTGGTGACGGCACTTGCAGAAGATGAGGGACCTAATGTAGAAGTTGATCCTTGTAACAAACGCACCCCGACATATTTCCAAAGTTTACGAAACAAGGCTTCGTTGCAAAGGGAGGAGCTGCCACTGAAGTAGATCTCTTGATTTAGGAAGTTGAGTATGCTTGCAACAGTTTCGACCTGATTGGATGATATAAACATAGTTTTCTCGGAGTCTTAGCGTCAAAGCAACAGAACGGTACTGATGTTCTTGGTGGTTGCGTTTCTTGCATCTTGGACGAACAAGCTACGGCATAGCTTGCTCTTGCACATAGCCCCTTGTTCTATTCATCTTTGTGGGGAGAGGGTTGGCAGCAGACGGGCCTAACACGTTCAAGGCTTCTAGTGATTGGCCATGGGGCTAGAAGTTATGACGAGATGGAAGTGCTTGTAACCCCAATCATGCACTTAGAAGCTCTGAGCCCCTAAACCCCATTCATGGCTATCTCTGTAAAACCTTCCAGCGTGGGGCTTTCGAAGAGGCCTCCGAGCCAGAAGCCAGACTCCTGCAGACGCGCAGGTCCTTCAAATTGGGTCAAACCGATCACTGGGAATTCCTGGGTTGTTTGTGTCTTAGTTGCTGCTTCAGTATTGATACAATTCTTCTGGTTATGCTCAACTAACTGACTTAGAGTATTCTGGGTCTGGGTCATTCCGCGGTTTGGCTCATGGCAATGGCTTGATCGTTATTTGGACGTTGCTGCTGCGTCTTTCTGCTGTTGCTCTTTCTCCCCCTCGTCCTGCCTCTTGCGACGACTGCTTCTACTACTTCTGCTACTACTACTACTACTACTACTACTACTACTACTACTGCTACTACTACGACTACGACTACGATTACCACGACTACTGCGACTACTGCTACTACTGCTACTTCTACTGCTACTACGACCGCTACTACTAGTACTACTACTGCTACTACTACTACTACTACTACTGCTACTACTACCAGCTAGTGTGAGCACTAGTACTAGTATCAGCAGGGTTGCAGCACTAGTAGTAGTCGTTGCTGTTGTTGTAGCAGAAGCGGTAGTAGTTGTTGTTGAAGCAGTAGTAGTAGTAGTAGTAGTAGTAGTAGTAGTAGAGGTAGTAGTAGTAGTAGTAGTAGTAGTAGTAGTTGTTGTTGTTGTTGTTGTTGTACTTGTAGTAGTATTCGTAGTAGTTGTTGTTGTTGTAGTAGCAGCAGCAGTAGCAGTAGCAGTTGCAGCTAGCAGTCGCAGAAGCAGTGGCGGTAGTAGTGGTGGCAGCAGTAGCAGCAGTAGTATGAGTAGTAGTAGAAGTAGTAGCACTAGCAGAAGCAGCAGCAGCAGCAGCAGCAGCAGCAGCAGCAGTAGTAGTAGTAGTAGTAGTAGACGAAGCGAGAGGAAAACAAGGTCTTCTTGTTCTTCGTGCTGTTGCAGTACCAACAGGGAGTGGACTAATTAGAAGAAGAGCAGCATTAGCAGCAATAGTTTCACCATGACCTTGTAGTAAAATTGTGTGTCAAGGGCACTCTCTGTCTTCTTTGTGAATTTCGGGTGCTGCTGTTCTAGTACGTTATTTGCTTGATGTATAGCAGTACTCTGTGCAGTTTCTGGTTTGAGGTTAGCATGAAGGACGGTTCGGACATGAAGCGTTGCTCTTGTTTCCGGGCTTGATGTGAAGGTAAGATTCTAGTAGTTCCCCGGGGGTGTTGTAGCTTAAACCGTAGAACCTGTAATAGCCAGCAGGTGACAACTTCGGGAATTGCTTCCGACCTGCGGACATGCGAAAGGTATGAAACCTTCGAGAGATTCTGCGAAACCAACCCCAACCCAGCATCACGTCTGTGTAAACACCTCTGCTCGAGCGGAGCAAAGTTGACTTCCGGAACGCGAGTCAGAACCGACAAACTCGCGAGACACAGAGGCATGTGATGGCAGTGCCTGGTTGCCGTGAATCTGTGCGTATCTGTGTGTATTTTTGTCCATACATGAATAATTCTGTAATGACACATTCCAACATTCATTGTTTGTGTTGCTGGTTCTGTGCGCTTACATGATTGCGTGTCAACGCAGAAGCTGTCTCCCTCGGAACCCTGTACACTCCAAGCGGGATGCACTGAACCCGGGCGGGGACAGGAGGCGAGTGCAGCGACTCCACGCAGAAGGACAGAGGACACCGGGCTCAAGATGCAAGGTGCGAGGACCACCCAGGCTTGAAACAACCATCCCCGTCCCTGGAGTTCGAGGGGTTTACAATCCTACGCTTCAGGATGCTGAAGGCTTTCAGGATTTGGAGTTGACGGAGTTTAGGGCTTAGGATTTGGACCAGGCTTGGCCCTTTCCGGAGCTCAGGACAGTCTCGAAGACCCTGCGCATCCTCCAAGTGTGGAGGCCAGCGTCAGCACACAGGGTCAGTCCTGAACCAGACAAGAAGTTTCTCGTGGGTGCACGGCGTTGCTTTGGGTTGCAAACAAGGTCCACGTGCACAGAAATCCTAGTGTCTCAAGCCTACATACTTCTTCGGGTAGTTGTGAATTGGGAAATCCGGTCCTGTTCCAGCTCGTACGAATGGTCACATGTGCAAGGGAGATTGATGGATTTAGGATCCAGGCTGAGCGAAAGTTAACTCTGGGGCTGATGTCTCGAAACGTGTGAACTGCGGTTGCTCCCGGAGTTCTTTGCATTGCAACTATGGTAAAACCCAAAGCCCAGTTTTCCGGCCTGCTCAGCGGTTGCGCCCGAAACACATCCAGCACTGTCCCAAAATGGCCTTGAGCCCTCAAGCCCTCACACCGTAAAGCCTTGCGCTCGCCGTAAAACGTTACACCCCGAGCCGCATAAAGCCGTATAAACGGCGAAAATCCTGAGGATGACAGAGCTTTGGCGCTTGCAGCGGTGCAGAAAAACTGCTGCTTGGTCCTAACCTCCTCACGCCTGCTGGGTGTTATTGTCTTGTGCCATGTCATACAATGCATCTCGTGCCAGGTTCCGAGCGGAGGGGAGAATCAAAGGCAGTACGACCCATCAAACTACATGTTCCGTTGAGTTGTCTCACGTAGAATGTTCATGTTCACCACATGAAGCTGGTGCCTTTTGCCCCCCCGTTTTGCGAAAGCCCCTAGACCCCAAATCTTGAAAACCCAGAACCCGATTCCTTTACCCAGGCGATGCTTTCCCACTGCTTTCGGTTCCTATGCGCTACGACCGGGAGATCACACTCGAGGCAGCCCGAGGAGAGTGGGCTTTCGTTCCCCCGTAAATCCCCAGATCAACCTAAGTTCACGGCCCAGATGAGAGTGAGAGCTGGAAGGTTCCAGTGGTGTTGGATCTGGCACTGTCGAGTTCTTGGCAGTTTAGTGCTTTGTGCAGTGTAGAGGTCTCAGACATCCCGATAGCCGCAAAATCTATTCTAAGCATTAAGGCTCCTATGCTGGGGTTGGGCCTTTGATCTGAAGATCTGAGCCTTTTTGTTTGCCTTTTTAACATTGTAGATCCAGAAACACCAACAGGATACATCTTGGGATGCCAAAGCTCTCCCGCCAGGCCGTGCGGCAGAAGGGAAGCTTGCTCCAGTGCCCTCTACGTTTGATGGCTTCCCAGACCCCCGAAATGGCACCAGCTACAGCTTTCCTTTCAAGTCGTCGTCGGTTGCTCCGACGCCTTCGAGCCCTTGAACACTACCACCTAAACCCTAAACCCTACCCATTAAGCCCATCCAGAAGTCCACATCTCAATCTTTGTCACACCATTTTGCGAGGTACACCTCCCCCGTGCTGCAGGCAGATCGGGAGGCACAGCTTGCTTTACTTGGAGCTTCGGACACATATGACTGAATGTCTGACTCAATCATCTCTTCCGTAAGTATCTGTGTGGGTGGTTTCTATTTGGGAAAACGGAGGTTGTAAGTACCCCGGAGATCAAACTAGGATTTGGAAAATTGCCAGGAACACAGTCCGCAGACCCCAAGTTTGGAGAATTGCGTCGCAATTCCTCACTTCTCTTCTGATGGGGTCTTGTGGATGCTTAACGTTTAGGATGGAATCTTCGAGACTCCTTGCAGGTCGTGGGCGCGGCCGTGCAGCAAAGCGGAGCGGCGCTTCGCTTCGCAGCCCCTGCAAGGCGAAATGAACTGGGCTTGGTAAGGCGAGCTGTGACGAGGACGCCTCGGCAGAGTTCGAAGCTGAGAAGCTCCAAAGCCCATCGAAAACGAAGCAGTCCTCCGAAGCCAGCATCTCAGCAGAATCCTCTCGACGTGTGGTTGTAAGCAATCCGGCCTCGCATTCATGACACGACTTCTCGTTCAACGACCGGCACTGCCTTGATCCGCGCTTCCCCGCTGGTTATTCTGAGACGACGTATCCTTCTGGCCCTATAGTTCAATGATCACAAAAAAATCTCAGCTCAGCAGAATTTGTTGCAGAACACAATAGACTCCGAAAGTTAAACTTACTCCCAACTCAAACTTGCCATGTCAAGGACTCCCGAGATTTTTCCTTTCTTGCCCGCGGAGCTGAAGGACCGGCAGCGATTCCTGAAATGTAGCAGAGACCCTTCTGGGGCACTCTCTTCCGTGCTGTCTCGAGACGCACGCTGGGCATTCTGAGCAGAAGCGATAGGCAGTGAAGGGCCTTTGATTCGTAGGCACGACGAGAACTTGCTTCCGTGGCGGTTGCGCGAGACGGCATGCTGCTGTCAGCAGTGCCGGCACTGTCGCTGGGCATTCATAGCACAGACAGCTGCATTTTTTCTGCAGGTCTGCTATGCGATGCATGAATGCTACAATTTAGCAGCGAATACAGTTCGAGTGCGATCTTCGGAGTTTTGGTCGCATGTCGAAGCGGTTGCCCTATGCTTTGTAGCGCGTTGCCAGCACATGGAGCAGGCAAGATGACAAGGACATCGTTTTGGAAGCCGTCAGGCAAAACCCTGCTGCTCTTCAATTTGCCGCCAGCTCGCTGCGTTACGACAAGGCCACTGGAAAGCAAGCAGCTGTAGGTATCAGTGGCAGGCATTTCACGCATGGATGTGACGAGAGCGAGGCATAGTGCTGCCAATGAACACTTTAGAGCAGACTTCAATCCCCCAAGATTCAATTGAAGACTGAAGTATGATTGTGTTGAATCGCCACGTTGGTTGAATGACGCTTGCTTGCAAGCCATGCGCCTGACATCAAGGACATCCTGAAACTCTGTCTTGGCACAACCGATGGGTGAGAACATGTGTGCCGAGGCTGGACGTCGTTCACAAAATTCAAGGCTAGTTCTCACAGTCTTACTACGGCTTGGCGTTTACCGTCCGAGCAAGATGACCAAGATGACCTCGACTGCGACTGCGACTTCTACTGCTACCACTACCAGTGCTAAGCAGAAGAAAGTACAGTGAAAGCAGAGACGAACACAACCCTGCTACTGTGTGGCTGGAGGTTTGTCTTTATTGCTAGTGTGGAGTCGGAAACCGCTAATCGACTTCGTCACAGTTTTCGTAGTTAGCAGTAGAAGTAGCAGTAGCAGTAGGAGTAGTAGAAGTAGTAGTAGCAGGCGCCCCTCCTACCAACTTACACTTGCTTTAAACCATCTTAAGAGCACATCCGTTGTACTCGGTATTTACAGCACTTTCGTCATGTACGAGCAGCATAAGAAGCCTCAAAATCGACTTGCCGAGTTTGCAAACTCGGCCTCTTGATTTTGGACTTGATTGGGGGGGTGGGGGGGTGGGGGGGATGATGACGACAGTGTTACGCAAACACAACCAACAATATCACCACAAGAGCCGTTTTATTCGGTATTTGTTAAAGTACTTTCGTGATGTCGTCCTTTCTTGTATGGTTGCCACCCCTACTTGCAGACTCGACAAGTCGATTTTGAGGCTTCACAAGATGATCCTACATGACGAAAGTGCTGTAAATACCAAGTGAAATGGATGTTGCCTGAACATGTTTAAGAGCAAGTGTGTTGGAGGATGATGTTGATGATGATTTTGGGATGATGTTGATCATGGTTCTTGGATGATGTTGATGTTCGGGACGATGACGAGGTGTAGTTCGGGGCGGGGGGTGGCTAGTAGTAGTAGTAGTAGTAGTAGTAGTAGTAGTAGCAGTAGTAGCAGTAGTAGCAGTAGCAGTAGTAGTACTTGAAGATGTCGCAGCAGCAGAAGTAGTAGCAGTGGCAGTAGCAGCGAAGTGGTAGCAGTGGCAGTAATAGTAATACTAGTAGTAGTAGTAGTAGTAGCACAATGTCAGTGTTCCGGGAACTGAGAAAGGCTAGGCAGGGCCGGATGACGCGTCATCTTCGTCATCGTGCTCGCGCGGGCGCCGCTTGCACGATTTGCACCACTTGCACTACCCACGCCACTTGCACCACTCGGCTGAGTGTGCCGCTGGTGCAACTGGTGCCCAAGATGACGCGTCATTTTGCCCCCTTTGGCGGTTACCGTCCGAGCCTGTTAATTTCGTCCTTAATGATAGTGTGAACACTACTTTTCGTGCTTCCAGCTTTGTTTGCCACATAAGCTTTTGCAATGCAGAATGCTTGCTGCGCAACTGCAGACCCAATGAAATGCCACAATGCATCTGGTTGGCCAGGAGCCGAGACGATCACAATTGCTGTTCTGTTGAATCCACAGGGTTTGTGCACGCCAATACCATGGTTGAAGTCTTTTCTGCCGCTTGTCCATCTCCTGCTACACAAGCTTTGCGTCTAGTTCTGCTTGTCCCCTGCAGGCTGTATCGAGCAAGCGAAAGCGGAGACCGTGCCCATGCTGTCCGACAAGGTCGATGAGGGTCGGGGCATGATTCAGGGATCCTGCCTTTAGAACTATCTTAGAAATTCATTGACAGAGAAAAATTTCAACACTGGAATAAGAAATCCAAAACGTCTGTTCTCCTGCCAATATACATATTGATCAGGCCCGTCGTTGCACGGTAGTGGGTCGTGAAAAAAGACAGGCCTCCGCAAGCCAGTACGATATGGGCAAGTGTTCAGAAAGTGTTCAACATGTACGGTTGAGCTGGCAAAGGAACGAAACTTCCTTCGGAGAACTTGTGAGAACAACGTGCCATGATTCTGGCTGGACATACCCTGATTTATTCGGTTACAGCTCACCGAGCATGGCCCAGCAGATTCTAGAAAGCGGCAGTGGCCAAAGAACAAAAACGCTTGTATGCTTTTGTGTTGAGCTAAACCCAACGCTGTTCCGGAAATGACAACCCTCTCGAATCGCCCGGCAACTGCTACCAGCTGGCGCTTGTAGGATTTTCTGACATACTGTCAATCCGGCAGCAAACACGTGCAAGCAGCTTCCTGAAAATGATACACAAAAGAGGCTTTCAAGCCAAATGCTAAGGTCAGTAAGTTGCCAGAACAGTGTGCTCTTGAATTCCGGCAGTATGTTGCGGAAAGTATTTTCGCCGGGCTCCGGAATCCTACTGCCAGCGCTGCTTCGAAAGAAACATGATTGTCGTAATCCTAATAAAAGCCATTCGAGCGTACTTCTGGATTCCGGCCAAACATCAGCCATGGTCCTCGGTGCTCCTGCATGCAGCCAAAATATCTAATCCGCCACTACTTGGGGGAAGCAGTTTGGCCTTTGTTCCCAAATCAAGCCGTGTGCTTTAATGGCATTGCAGTGAATCTGAAGCACTGCACCATTTGCAGCAACCCTGTTTTTGAGCTTGTTTCCTTCCTGCAAATCGAAGGACTGGAAGCTTCCGAACGCAAAACACTCTTCAAGACCATCGTGACTCGAGTAAAGGAATTCTTCAAAGACGCACAAGCATCAAGTTGCTTGAGACACCATTACATTGAAGTTCGAGTTGTTAGTGATTGCACGATTTACCGGTACCTGCTAGTCCAGCCAGTTTTCTTTCCTTTTGTGCGAGGGTCTGTTCTTTCAATGACGTGCCGAATGCTAGGACGGACGTTTTGCGGAGTTCAAAATGGCCAGTGTTGCAGCACGCACCCGCTTGCCTTCGTGTCAGGCGAACTCGCCAAAGCTGCAAAGACAGGATCGACCTGGCAGCTCGAACATTTTCCATGGACTTGGTTGGAAACTTTCGATCGTCGTCGGTTTTTTCTATGAGCTATTGTTTGTTTTTGCATATTGATGAGCGACTTGACGAATACCAAGATATATATATTAATTTTAAAATGAAATTAATTATATATATATATACTAATATCTCTAGATAATATAGAAATATGAAGTTATATGATAAAATTTCAAAATTATGAAATTTATGCAATTATATATATATTTTGACTTCTATACAAAATAAGATATCGAAATTATATATATTTATTTAATATATAATTGAATATATATTGAATTCGATCTTCGAATATTACGATAACTTTTATTAGGAATTAAAATATATGCAGGTTAAATGATTTTATGAAATAAAAAAAAATAATTTTAAAATATTCATTAGAATTATCGAAATAATAAATATGATACTAAAATATAATATACAATTATAATATATGTAATACTCTGAAAATTTCTTATAAAAGAGCGATGTCAAAAAAAAATTATTAAATTGAATTTAATATATTAGAATTTGAATATTCTAAAAATTTCTTATAGAAGATTTATTTTTGGAATAT